GGGAGATTTATTTTGTTTCATTCGATATACTGCTTCTGAACATTCTTTTAGAGACGGAAATTTATCGCAATTTATTTTTTCCTCCTCTGTAATATTGTTAACGAAGTTAATATCTTTTAAATAGCTATCGATGTCATCTTTTGGAATATGTACACTCGAGTACAAATTTTCATAAAATAAACAAAGCTGCTTTAAAATGTCGTCAGTTTTATTATAGATTTGGTCGTCTTTTCTTATTGTATTTATAACATTATGTGATTGATGTTTATTTTCAAGCCTTAGAAAATAAGAGGTATTCTTTTCATTTTCATCAATCCATTTAGCCCTCGAACGTACTGTAAACCAACTTTTATTCGCGTGCGAGAAATTTTCGCGAAGTTCGCGAGAGCCTTGACATCGCGAATATTTCTCGCCGCGAACCAGTCCCTAAAGTCTTTGTTTCTCTTAACAACAGATCAAAAAAGGCTTGCTCGCGAAAATTTATCGTCGCGAACTAATCTAACCCTAGTTAATCGCGAAATAAAGTCGTCGCGAATGAAAGTTGGTTTACAGTATTTGAGCACCTTTAGATTTATATTCATATAATTTGTCTAATTTATTTTCTAGATCCCTTTTTTGAATCATGTTGATTTGTGTATAGTGACTATTTTCTATCCTCTCGATATCTTTTTCAAGATTTTGAATTCTACTTTTCAAAGATTTATTTTTTGGTGCAGAATTTAATACTTATTTTCTTTATGTGATGTTTTATCAATTCCCATTTAATAGTGTGAGCATTATTTTCATTTTCTATATCTTTGGGAAGTTTGGTAAAAAAATTCATTTATCAAGGAACAATAATTGGGATCTTGTAGAACAGAAGTATTTTATTTCCAATATCCTTTCCCCCTATCGTTAGATGAAACGGAACATTTAAAAATTAATGAGAGATGATCACTCATTCTATTTTTAGATACACTTGGTGCTTAGCGTAAATATTTATTCTCAGGAGTAAAACAAAAATCTTTACTAATAAATACATAATCTATTCTACTTTTAGGCAAGTTGTTACCGTCACACCACGTTAGACCTGCTTTATCTGATTTAAAATCGAATTTCTGTATTAAATTTTTAACAACTTTCACGCTTTTATCTTTTTCTTTGCAAATTTTACAGTTAAGGTCTCCAACAAGTATGATATTTTCATCATTTAATGTGTACTGAGAAATCCATTTCATAACTTTTTAAAAGAATTCTTCTCTATGATTTTCTAATTCGGAGCATATACATTAACAAGAGAGATAACTCTTTTCTCATATTCAATATTCAACAGTAAAATTCTACTATCAGCAGATCTATGAACATTAAGAATTTTAAACGGAAAGTTTTTATTAAATAGTATTGAGACACCTTTACTATGTGGCGAATCTGAAAAAATGTGATAAGAGGAACCATGCCACCTTGAGTCATAAATGTTAATCCTATCTTGAACAAAATGTGTTTTTTGTAAAAATATAATATCACATTTAATATCATTGAGCCAATCATATAATATTAATCTTTTGTCATAATTATTCAAACCTCTACAGTTAAGTGAACAGAGTTTGATATTTGCCATTGTCTGAAGATTTACCTTTTAAGGTAGTTGTCTAGGCCCTGTTGACTTTTTTTGTTGGTGGAGCCTGATCTCAGGCTCTTCGGACGAGACCATGCACTGCCTGGAGCTTTACGTAGCTTTTCTGCGAATTTAATGATGATCTTTCCTATAATATAATATTTTGACCAGGCCACGCCACCGATTTTGTGTGAAGGGTTTGAACGGCGTTTAATCCAGTGCCCCAGTATTGATCATACACAGAATGGGCGAAGAGCGCATCTGCCCTGGAGGAAGTAAGGAGGTCTTTCATTTCATTACACTGTTGTAATTCTTCTGCTGTAATTTCCTCCATGACGGAAGGGGCATCCTGTAGCCATGAATCTGGTGCACGAATAGGTTTTCCAATAAACTTGCATTCGAGAGGGGATTTAGCCTGGCGAATACGTTCTGCTGCCACAAGATCACCAGAGCGCATTGCCTTGGTGAGTTGAAAGCCTGCTCCGCTGACTTGTAATGCTCTCCAAATACCTTCAGATCACAGGGGTAGAATTTGGAAAGGATATTTTGATCCCCATCGAAAGCAACCAGTTTGGAGTTGTTTTGAGTGAACTGAGGACACATTTCATCGCCTGGTTTATGGCCCTCGTTTTTAAGGCTGAGACCGGGGTGCATTTTGGCACATCTTGAAGAAATGCCCGGTCTCCCAGCAATTTGTACAGGTGGGGGGGGGCGGTTTTTCAATGGTTTGTCCGCGATGGAATATCTTGCATTTGAGACCTGCACAATAACTGAAGCGTGGGAGTGCTTTGTTTGGTCCCAGATGTTCAATATATACAAATCTGTTCCCGTTGAGGACACTTGTCATTTTATTATTATTAGGGTTCCTAATTTTTTCATATTTAAGGTCACTTTTAGGATTGACCCCAAGCTTATTAAGCATCTAATAGATAGCAGAGTCATCGACTGATAGCGGAACACCGCAGATCGTAATTTTTAACGTCTCACTTTCAGGATCCTCTACCCACGTGGAATAAGGGTTCGAATCGTATACTTGAATGTGCTGATTGATTAAGTCAAAGCCTTCTATGAGGATTTTGTCTCTGCTATCTTTATCACTGACATAAATCCTCCAGAGATCACGGTCTAATTGCACGCATTTTACCATGTCGCCTATACAATGCATCACTGCTTCTAATAACGCCAAATTTGTAATCCTTTCATTAGACAATTTTGACAGTTCACTGTCTTTAAGGTACACAGGTTTCAAGAATTGTGCCATGTTTTTTTTTTAACTCAGGGTACCGACAATACCGATAGCTCAGAGAAGTTAAGTGAATACGTACTCTCTGATCAGTTGTTCACAGTAGTCAGAAGTCAAAATCCATATATTAATCCATACAAACGAATAAATTGCAAAAAGCAAATGTCAAACATAGATATAAACTTATATACACTGTTTGATGCAAAATTTTGCCTCAAAAACACCTAAAGGTGCAAAATTTGCCAAGAATTAACGGAGCCCAAACGAAAACGTCCGTTCGTCTCCGTCACGTGACAGTTTTTTTCTGAAGGACATGGTTAAAAAAAACTTCGTGCTTGATTTCACAAATGTGATGTTTTATAGAGTTTTTGCTAAGAACTTAATTTTTTATCACCATACTAAAAAACAAAACTGTGAATTAGTATACCTTCAAGGTTTTTTTAATTTACTTTGGAGTAAAAAATTTATAATTTCTAAGTCTACCTGTTTGAATCTTCCGAATTTAACCGAGTCCGATTTAATATTATTGTGGAAGTAAACAATGGATGATGCCCACGCAGTCGTAATACTGCGCAGGAGTTTACTTTGTTTACTAGTGTGATATACAATTATTTTTTTTCAGTTTAAAATTTTCTAAATGCTTCATTATAAATTGAGTAAAAAAATCATATCACTTTCTTCAGTTTGAAACAGAATTCTCGTACAGCTGTATTTTGATCTAAACAATTTCTCTTTCATACAGCGTAAATTAAATTCATGTGTTCTCTCCATGGTTTCCGTTTTGAGGCCTCGAACAGTAAACTTATAGACGTGACCCCGTCTTATAAGCAAACTAGGGGGACGACCATTTGATTCCAAGGGGGGTGGGCAGAATTAGGAAAGAAGTAATATGTCCATCAAAATGTTGAAAATGAAAAAGGAATCTGTCCTTCACTGCAAAGAAAATAAGTAACCTGACCTTGACTGATGATATTTAAATATTGTGAAAATTACCTTTCTTAATTATTTCAGTGTAATTTAATTTAACCTTGACATCTTCAATTTAGCATGTTTATTTGCTCGCTTCTCTCGCCATTTTAAAACCAAACAGTATTTAAAATGAGATTTTAAAAAATCCGTAACCACGTAACACAATGGCCGACTGCATCAATCCGATTGGCAAAGTTTTTATATTAATGCGAGAAGAAAGAAAATGCATGTATGACTACTACACAAGGGAGGAGAAAATCACAGACAAAGCAGTAAGCATCATTGATAAGACAATACTTGTGGTACAGACTGGATACTGGTAGTCAGTTTATCTACATGACACTGTGCACTCAGTAAGTGTAATGAATCACTTTAAGTACAGCCAATTCTTACGTACAGTCAATTCTTAAGTACAGCCAAGTACGGCCAAAAGATAAATTTTCTTGTCAAAGAACTATACCTAGCAATTAATATTTCACGATAAATAAATACAAAGTATATAATACTATATAATAGTCTTTTAGTGCTAGTATTTTAATCATAAACCATAATCCAAACAAAATCTTTAATAATAAAAGAAAAAAAACACTTTTGCTTTTTTTTCTACTATAGATCACTTGTTAATATCAACTGATCAAGGTATCGTAAGGAAAAGAAGAAAGTAAATACATGTATTAAGACCTTGATAATCTTCAAAATAAATAACCTGTCGTTGACTGGCATTAAATTGAATAATCTGTCTCAACAAAATTTTTTAGCCCCCCTCCCCCCTCACAATAAAATGGTCGTCCCCTAAAGATCCAACATTCACGAAAATCATCTCTTTCTTTCGATAATTGCGTTGGATCCCCTTTTCCGTTTCGTACATGAATTGATTGTGTAAAATCAAATATAGAATGTTACCGGTCTTTGTGCTTTCTTCGGAAACTAAAATCCATAGGATTATTTTAAACTACTCTGACAAGTGTTTTCTATAAGTTTTGTCCACCGTCTGATGTCGTGTTCAAAAAGACTAATGTCCATCAATTAGCACAAGGGGGGGAGTACTAAACAAAGAGTTCATCTCTGAATGTTGGTGTTAAAATGTACCAGTAGCGAAAATAATCTTATATACACATATTATTATTACTTAACAAAATGAAAAGTTTAACCAATAGCTAAATCAGAAGTGTTTCCTATATAAAGTATACTTACCTTCTCCCAGTCTTCTCTTTCGCTGTAGATCCACCCTTCATTCTCTACAAATTTCTCTGGTACACTGGTCTTGTTTTCATAATTAAGTTCACAGTAATTTGCTCCTTTGTAATAATTCAGTGAGTAACATCGAGTAGATCGGAGAAATTCTCCTACACAGTCTAGAATACTGTACTCGACATAGGAGTCTATCATGCGCCTATCCAGTCTAAAGCCATATTGTAACTTAGAATACCCTGAAGTCAAGTTTTCAATTGACTTGTTTGGTATTCCTAATAAAATAAGCAAGAATAAGATACAGGCCCGATCGGCCATCTGTGCTCGCGCCAGCATTCTTCTCATACGACGCCAGCTAGTGATACAGCGAGAAACAGTTGATATCAGAAAGCTGGGTGTATTTAATGCATTATATATCATCCGCTCTCGTTTCAACCAGTTACCTAACCTCTTTTCAAAAGAGTTCAAATAGAAAAATACTTCGATTTTTACATATTACTTTAATTGCTTCCTTTGATGTCTAGAATCGGCACGGAGACAATTTTTTATGCATTCTACCTACATAAGTATTGGACAAAATAATCTTTAAATGACTTTCTATTAACATAATTTTATATGACTTCAAAACAAAAGAGTTTTAGATGAGATTTGGTACGAATTCTGTTTAGTTAACTATTATTTACAACTCTTCATGTCAATCAGAAACAATGAAAACAGTGTGTAATTTCGAATAGATAAGGAAATTCAATTTTTATAACATATTTAAACCAAACAATGTTCATTGTTCAACACTCAATGTAGAAACTGCTAAAAATTCATAAAAGAGCAAGATTAATGAGGGACTTTTTCTTGTGGTGTAAGTTGAACAACATAATAATAATACTTTATTTTAAGAGGGTAACCTGATTAGTGTAATGCACTAGTCTTCCTTGGGGCCCTCTAAGCAACAATTCAGAAATAAAGATATTATTGATGGTTCTAACATCCGTAACCTCTAACCTACATAACAGAAAATCAACAAAATCTGACGTGTGCAACATTTCAGGTGTTTAATTCTACCAGATAGTGCTGGAAGTTTACTCTTTAAGTTGACAACAAAATGGAATATAAGAATCATAATGCGTTTAAAGCATAAAATAAAGGTATTTTTGAAAATATTGTGGTAAAAATGGCCTTAACTTAGATGTTTTTGCATATTACAAATAATAATTATAGTGTTTTTTATCGTTTTGTAAATGTCTAATATTTACGGAAGTCCATTTAGGACCAATCGAAAAATATTTTTGAATCCGATATAACGAATTGTCGAATTTGTTATAACGAATTTGATTCGTTATAACAATTTCTTTGAATTCGTTATAATGAATTTAATCTGTTATAACAAATTTGTTGATTTCGTTATAACGAATACAAAAATTTGTAAATACGAATTAAACTCGTTTAAACAGATTCTAAAACTTGTTATAACGAATTGAATTCAATGAAACGAATTCCATAATTTGTTATAACGAATTAAATTCGTTCAAACGAATTCGACAAATCGTAATATCGAATTCATATATATTTTTCTATAGACCCTGATTATTGAATTCGATCAAACGAATTTAATTTGTTATAACCAACTTTGGAATTTGTTTTACGAATTTAATTTGTTATAACAAACTTAAGAATTTGTTTAAACGAATTTAATTTGTTATAACAAATTTTTGAATTCGTTTTAACGAATTTAATTCGTTATAACAAATTAAAGAATTCGTTATAATGAATTCAACAAATTTGTTATAACAGATTTAAACTGTTGTAACAAATTCATAGAAATTGTTATATCGAATTAAATTCGTTATAACAAGTTCGACAATTCGTTATATCAGATTCAATAATATTTTCGATAGGTCCTAAATGGGCTTCTGTAAATATTCCGTAATGCGTATGGGCACAAAAAGGTCACCCTTATGTGAACTATCAGCGGTGTACAGGGAAATTATACTCTTTTATACGTAAAACCAGCGATGTTACGGAGGTTGGGTTTTCTGCAAAAAATGGATGTTTGTGTCTTTTAGTGAATATTTCACATATTATGGTATATTAAATAAGTTTTGTTAAAAAATCATGTTGATGTGTGACAGTTACTTCACACGGATTCAATAAATCACTTCATTATTACAGGGTTCAGTAAGGTATTTCGTAACGGAGGTTAAAATTATTTGTTTTGTTTTGTTTTTTGTTTTTTTTTTAATAAATGTATTTGCCTAAAAAACGTTAAAACAAATATTTTTATCCTTTCTTTCCAAATAAAGTATGTTTTCTAATTGTTTTTTTTTTAATTCACCACTATGTAAACGCATTCACACCGATTCTTCGAAAAGATAGTTGTATATATTTTGTAACGGAGGTTATAGAAGTTTAAATCTTCAATTTCACATTTGCAGTTAAAAAAGACAATAATATATATTGATAAATATTTGATTAAGTTGATTGACCCTTAGTAATGCTGAGCGACATAAGTTCGTAAAGCTAATAGGAAGTCTAAAATTCGCTTTACTCTTTTTTTTAAATACTAGTATTCAGAATAACGTCCGTAACGAAACACACTTTTTTTGTAAATCGCTTTAAAAAAGAGGAGAAAACTGTTTAGTTCTTCTCTTAATTGTGTAAATACAGGTGACTCTCGATGGCTCGAACTCCGATCTCTCGAAGTTCTCTATCTCTGCAAGTGAATCTCCGGTCCCGTTTTTTTCTCTATATAATTAAGCAAATTTACTCCTGATCTCTCGAACTTCCAATCTCTCGAACCAAAATTTTGGTCCCGTTATACTGATTTCATTGTTTTTTACCCTCTATCTCTCGAAGTTTTGATTGGCCATGCAAGCTAATCAAGCGTAAAATTAACGCAGCCTGGACTTACCTGGAAAACAATTAACACCTGGGGCTGGCATGGACGTGTTAATTGGGTGTTTACATAGTTGACACTTCACCTGTGAGACGTTGGAGTGCTGATATAATTAATTGATTAATTGATTAATTATAAACAAACCGCTTCACAGCTTATTTTGACTTGGCAGAGAGACGATAATTTTGAGAAAATAATTTAGAGACGTGTCAATAAATTTTTCATAAATTATGAATTTTTATTTGATTCTACACAAAGTCATCATGACGACCATTGCACAAGATATCCTATCTCAAGAACTGAATAGTAATACCGAGCAATCTTGTGAAGGACCCGTTCAAGCCGGGGGGATAACCGGATCGGTATCTACTATTCAAGAATCCATTTTGCGTCAAGTATCCTCTCAGCGTAGTACCTCCGAGCAATCTAGTGAAGGACCCGGTCAACCCGGGGGGTAGCTAGATCGGGGATTACAACGCCTAATGCTAAGTCTGCATTAGGAGGGAAAGGCGTGAAACGGAAATTAAATGTAAAAAACCATAGAAACGAAGTACGAGGCGATCACTGCAGTAGAAAAAGGAGAAAAGTCAAAGACAGCCATTGCCAAAGAATTTGATGTTCCCCTTAACACCCTCTCTACCTGGTTGAAAAATAAAGAAAGCATCATTGATGCGTTTCATCAATTTAATCCCAAAAGAAAAAACACCAAATCCTCTACATTTAACGATGTAGAATTGGCCACGCTGAAATGGTTTAAATCAGCCAGAGACAAAAATGTCCCCATATCTGGCCCAATGCTAGCCACTAAAGCCGAGGAATTTGCCGGTAAATTAAACATTTCAAATTTCAAGGCATCTAGTGGCTGGCTTGAGAAATTAAAATTTCGCCAGGGCATCTCATTCAAGAGAGTTTGTGGGGAGGAGAAATCGGTTGACTGTCAGTCTGCCCATATGCTCCTCTGGAAAGAAAAGTTGCCATTACTACTACAGACGTACTCCCCAGACGATATCTACAATGCAGATGAGACCGGCATCTTCTTCAGAATGCTTCCAGACAAGACCCTAGAATTCAAAGACGTCTTCTTTTTAAAGTGTGTTTGACACGTTTTACAAAGTATTTTTATCTCTTAATCTTCAAAACGTGTTTGTGTAACCTCCTTTACAATTTTGGAGCATTTTGTATATCAACTTTTCTTTTAAAAGTGGTCAATTTATAATCAGAAAAGGTCTTTAATTCTAAAGATATATCCTTTCATTTTTCAAAATCAAGTGGTCAAGTAATGTAATATTCTGATTGTTTGGAAATATTCCTACTGGAAAGTAGTGTTCATTTTATTGTCCAAAAATTCTGTTATCTGGATTTACAAATATTTAGTCAATATTTTTTTATGTTTGCAGTTCAGAATTTCTTCTGTTATAATTAAGTTGTATATTGATAAAGCTTCGAAGTTCAATAAAAATTAAAATATGAACAAGATTTTAATAACTTTACAGCTGCCTTTACTGAGTTATAACCTCCGTTAAGGAGTTCTTGCATGTGGTGAGTTGGAATATCCATAAAACAAAAATAAAAAAAATTCACGTGTAAAACTTCATTTTATTGATAGAGGATGTTTACTTTATCAATCAAACACAAAGTTATATCATTGCTCTTAAATTCATTTTTCAATATTATGGACTTGGTAAATGTATGAATTATACGGGAATGACTGAAAGACTATTTCTTTTGCTTTTTTTTTCATTTTTGGCAACTTTTTTAGATCTACAATTTTAATTTTGGACTCATGTACTAGGAATATCTTTAGCAGAATTGTGCCACTGAATTAAAGGGAACTCTTTTATAGGTGCGCGTGATGCAACTTCTTGGATGGTGTGTATGCTGTTTGTCAACATCTAAAACCGACGTGTATTTCGGGGTAGGTATGTTTACTCTCAATTTTCTTTCTTAAAAGCCGCATAAGGTTTTTTTTTATCTCAAATTTTTGTCAAAGCATTAATCTTTATTTTCTATTTCACGAATTATCTGCTGAGAGTGTAGTTAATTAATTAATTTAATTAAAGCTATATAGTAACATATAGTGAAATTATTTCCTTGTGTGAGACCTAAAATGATTAAAAAGAAGCATTTTAGAAAACAATTTGTATTAATCCAAAACAAAGGAATCTTGTTATTATCAAAACGTTTTATTTGTGTGAATGTGTTTGTGTATTACAAATACGAGGGTTGATCTAAAAGTAATGTCACAACTTTGATAAAATTGCTATAAATCGACGTAAAGCAACAAAATTAAACATGATGGAAGCTTTATTTATTTCAAATCAGACCTAAAAACAAATCAAAGCAATATGATGTAACATGTCCTTAAATCCCCCCTACAGCTTGAAAAGTTAGAGGGTATATAGATTAAAATTTTATAATAAGTTAACAAATTCTTAATTTCACAATCTCCTTGAGTACCTCCTAATTATATTTCTTTCATCTGACACTTATAACGGGTCTCCCAGAGCAAAACATGATCCCTGCTATTATAACTATGCGAGAGACAGAGGTATCATTTAGTGAGCTCATATCTCACAATATGGGATCACGGCGAAGCCCCTAACAAAAAAGTACAATAGTTAGTTGTAATTAGTTTAATCAAACTATACTTAATCAAATTTTGCAATATAATTAATTTTTTTTTACTTTGAATTTCAGATAATTAATTTTATTTTATTTTCTTAAGTTCCTATTGGTTATTTTCTTAAATTAAAACTATTTCTTGTTTATTAATTAATTCAAAAATTACATTATTGATGTGCGCTTATAGCTTTCTCCTTCCCGTGGCTCCTTGATCACATAACTTGTCGTTATCTTGAAAATTCACGCATGTCTTCTGTAACATCACGTTCATCCAATGACAATATTTGTTTCCACAGCGATTGAAAACACTAACATCATCAATAAACAAAAAAAAATCTTTCGTAAACTGCGATTGGGTAGTGAAGAATCGCGCCCATGTTCTTTTTCCGACCATGTTGTACTCGCATTGGTCAATATTTTAATAAGCTATGAAACATTCTCTTTTCATTCAAACACAGCCAGAATGGGAGAGGATCGTACAATTTGGCCGTGGTTTGCAACAATGCTTATCCTTCTGATGAATTTTTAAGGGATTGTTTTTTGCTCTCTCCACATATATATTGCTTAGTGCATAGGTAGAATTCCTGTAAGGTTTATGTCTCCTTACACAGTTAGTAATCACTTTCTGTGAAGCCTGAAAGGTACCTAGAAGCCACAGAAGTGTTTAAAACCTTCAGGTTGAATCTTTAAAGCCTGTGTATTTCAGGTATAGGTTGAAAATACCTTTATTCTCTATAGAAACAATTAAATGGAAAATTACAGAATGTATGAACCTATCTCTATCTGTCATCAATTATGTACAAATACAGTATCCTTTTAGAGATGACAAGTTTTCAAACTTAAAATACCGCATAAAATTTTCCTATATATTCCTCTGTAAACATTTGATCAGCCATTATGGCCCCACTCTACACCGGAGGGTCATGATTTGAACAAACTTTAATCAACACGACAACACTGCGTGAGGATGTTAACATTAGTTTCATTTTTTCTGTCCCAGTGGTTCTGGAGAAGATTTTTAAAAGATTCTATTAAATTTTCATTAATTCATAATTATTTCCCTTGGAAGAGGACTTGGCCCTTCATTTGAACAAACTGCAATCATATTTACCCAAGGACACTTTGTGGAATTTTGGTTGAAATTGGTCCAGTAGTTCTTGAGAAGATGAAAATGTGAAAAGTTTACAGCAACACCAACGACGACGACAACAACGACAGACAATGGACAAATTTTGATCAGAAAAGCTTACTTGAGCCTTCGCTCAGGTGAGCTAAAAACTATTTTCCATGAACATACTCAATACGCAAGTTTCGAGATTATCTCCCTTGGTGCGCTCTTTCGTAGAGGAGGGGAGTTTCGTTGCCGTGTAAACATACAGGTGGGACAAATATTTGATATTTATATATTGGATACATTGTATCATCGATATACTGGTTTATTATAACTACATGATTGTCAGGATGCACTCTACATTTCGAGAATAACCGAATTAATTTAAAGACGTCATTTCTTAGAGCAAAAAAATCGTAACAAAAAAGAAAATGTCTGTTGATATGAGACTTTTCAGACGAGGGAACATATTTGGACCTCTAATAAAAACGGTACACGTGCATCTGATCATTGTACGTAGGCGATCTATTTGACACATTGATTCTTTTCCTTATTATAACTTCAAAAAATCCACAAACTTTTGTTAAAAAAGTTTGTACAATCAAGAAAATCGGTTACTTTTTATTAAGACTATGATGTTTATTTCGTTTTCAAGTACCTATAATTTAAAGTAGATTTGTAAATATGCATAGCTGAACTTGTTAAAATCATCAAATGCATCACTGCTTAATATCATTATCTTTTTATAACATTTAATAAATTTTAAAAGCCGTAAATATCGTTCATTTATTTATGCACGTTTGTATACAGAAACAACCCCTGTCCCACCACCCTGCTGAAATGGATACTTTTTGCGCCTCTATAAAATTAATACGTATTAAGAATACTTTTCATTTCATTTTAAAAATTTATAGCATAACTTTATGGATCTCAGATAAAATTAACTGAGTATATTGCTACAATTCCCAGAGGTTAAGGAAATATCAGACCGATATCATCTGTCCTTTTGTTCACCTCAAAACACCAAGAACCATTAATGCCTTTGCAATTATGTATGAAGTGATGTTTTGAATACATAAAATTAATACATCATAATTCACAAGTAATGGGCTGATTAACATTAGTAGACTTCTAAAGGGTTTAAAAGAAGGAATTGAACTTATAAATACACTTAAGAAGAGAAACTAGAATCGATTGTGACAGATTTAAGATATATATTATTTATAACCTGGTATCGCATTAATTCCAAGTATATACTACAGGCACTAATATCAAAGGTATAATACATAGACCTTAGATAATTAACAATACTGCAACTGATGGATAACTGAACGTAAGCTGAGATTTATAAATACAGCTAATTCCATGCATTAAATCCACTCTCACTATGTTAGGAGTTCTGGTCTGTCTGATTCTGTGGACTGCCCTGACCACGACATTTACAGATGGAGTCCTCTTCCAATCTCATTATTTCGCGGACACTGACTTAGATGATACAGTGTTTTACGACACTCTCCTGTCAGCACACCATTCGGACTCTCTCACGCTGTGTTTCGCTATGTGTGGTCAGAACTGTCACTGTCTTGGCTACAACTCCCAGAAAAAGAGATGTCATCTATATAAATCATGTGATTCTGTGACTATATTTGATTACGAAACTGGTTGGAGGTATTATAATTCAATGTTGGAAGGTACGAAACATTTCCTCAAAAATAATATCATAACAATATTCTTAATACATTGGATACACACAGAAACATGAGTGAATTGGTACATATTTTTTTTTACTCATTTTGGTTTTAAAATGATTAGAGAACGTACATATAGTAATAGTAATATAGTATTTCTAAAATAAAAAGAAATTATTAAAGAAGATGGGTGGATAAGGCGGGTGAAGTGCCTATAGTGCGACAAATAAGAAGTAAAAATTTTAATCTTAATTAAATCAAAATTTTATTTGATATTTCATCGAATATTAAAGTATTCTTTATGTAAATTCTCTACAATTTAGAAAAATCTCACAAAAACAGAAAATATTTGCCTATGAAAAAGCTTACACAAACTAAAAAGAACAAAAACGATCATTTTTACGTACTTTAACAATTTTTTTCAATATGAGTGGGTCTTCGCTCCATTTTTTTGAAAGATGATCCTAAAAGTTTGCAATAAAATACACATTTTTTGGTTTACAAAAACATGGAACGAAGACTCACTATACCTTAAAAGTACACTTTTATGACACAACATTCGCATCTTTTTGAGAAATACTTCAAGTCCATTAAGTTGCGGGTAATACCACAAACATGATTTAAATGCCAAAAATCACCATGAGTGATGTAGCATAGTGATTAACGCTTAAGTCTCAAAGCAGTATGTTATTGATACGTCGGATTTTTATTGGTAGGGTTCGAATCCCACGAATACCATCTATTCATTTTATAAAAGAAAATTTTTTACGAGATTTTTTTTTCTCTCAGAAAAGTTTTTTTTCCTCATAATTTCAACAGAAATTCAATAATTAGAAGTGAATTGAAATACTCAATTCACATACTGAATATGATTTCTTAATATCGGATGCTATAGGCATTCTACCCGCCTTGTTCCACCATCTTCTTTTATAATGTTTAAAATTCTACCTACCTGCAACCAACCTTTTCAATCTATACAAATTTGCTTCAGTTAAAACCCAATAATACATGAACTTAGAAGAATTTTAAAAATCTATGAGATAAGACATATTCAATGAACATGTAAAACATGACTTTTTGTGTCATTTTTAAGATCATGGTTAAAGGATTGGTAGAGTGCACTGTCAAATTTTAACTTTTATAATGTATATATAATATTATCGTATCACAAATATTTATATTGAAGTACAAGCAGTTTCCACGTAAACAGGCCGAGTTCTTGATAAAATAAAAATTAAGTTTTTACTCTGTATATTTATTTTATCTTAGACCATTTTGTTTTACTATTTTGGATTATTCTTTACATTCAAAGATAAAAACAAGCTTAGGTAAAAGCTATTACAAATTTAAGATATGATATTTATACATGTAGGAGAGGGTTGGATGCTGTTCGGAACCCATTATTACTTACATATCAAGAATAACGCCACATGGGAAAATGCCAAGGTAAGAATAATAATGTTATAAATATAAAATGCATCTGCCTTATAAATCGTTCAAATTTAAATTAGATTATTTTAATTAATCCATCCCGTCAGTCTAGTGGCAATAACATAACCTATTTTGACTATTTCAGTTTGAGTGTGAAATGTTAGGGGCCTACTTGGTTTCCATAGACACAGAAGAGGAGAACAAGTGGTTAACAGAAACCTTCCTGCCAGCCTGGGATCCTGGTACAGTTTTTCTTGATAAAAATATTATTTGTATAATGCACTTGTTCAAATTTAATATTTTAGCATCGTTCTATATACGTGTAGGTAATGGATCTGCGTATAACAATTATTTTCCAGAGAAATTTATTAGATAACGTAAGAACTTAGTTAAAATAATGAAAAAATAATAAAATCGTAAATAATTCTTTTGCCACGAAATAATGAGTAGAAAACATCTTTGTTTTGTTATTTAAAACCGTGTAAGTCACACTGACCTTCAAAACGATAAGTCCTTTCAGTTTAACCTTTTAAAATCTTTTAACCTTGACCATAACTTTTAAATGGTGAACTTCGGCTTCCATAGAACAGTGTTCTTTGTGGAAATACTGTAATTGCTAACAGATGGTGATTGGACTTTCATGTTTCACAATTGTATTTCCAGTTAGGAGACCTTACTTTAGGTACCAATATATTAAATTTGCATTCTAATGCAATTGTTTTGTAAAACACTCTTTGATTGGCTAAAGCAGATGTTTGAAGCAGTAAAACACATTAGCATGCTTGAAAGTATTTTTGATAAATGACAGTATTGTTGATATTAAGTTAATATTAATACCCGTGATGATTAGAACAAAATTGAACAAAATAAGACGAAGACAACAAACAAAATGCATTTTGCCTTGATCTTGCAGTTTAACCTTTTAAAATCTTTTAACCTTGACCATAACTTTTGAATGGTTAGGGCTTTGGCTTCCATACTTTACAGTGTTCTTTGTGGAAATACCGTAATTTGGAACAGATGGTGATAGGACTTTCATGTTTCACAATTGTATTTCCAGTTAGGATACCTTACTTTAGGTACCAATATATTAAATTTGCATTTAAGAAAAGATTAATCTTCACTATGTTGCCATACTGGGGCATCAGTTATTCTAAAACACATCTTGTTTAATATTGTTTTACATTTAAACATAATTGATTTAGAACTATCAATTTAAATCGCTCAAAGTACATTTTATCGATTCTTGATTTGATAGTGTTCCTCGATGGAATTCTATACGCAGGCGCAACTTCATTCATAAATGCAATGAAGCCATCCCTAACACAATCCTTAGAGGCAAATAACCCTTCACTACCATATTTGCTATAGAATTGGAAATAGAATCGGACTGAGTAGCGGACAGTTTTTTGGTCAACGGGTGACAAATTCTCCAACAGTTGCCTGTGCCTCATCGTCCAATTCATTTGGATGAATATTTGTTAGATGATAACGCATATGGAAGTAGTTCCGCAATAGCTTAAGTTTCTCTAAAAATTTCCACACGCTTGATATCGGCGGTGGAATTTTCAAAACTGAACTGAAAATCCATGAAACGTAGATCTAATTGGGTGTTTGATTTTTCTGAAAGGATCTTACGTAGTGAATAATACTCACAAATGAATAGCTAGTAATGACTTTGTAAAGAAAGATAACCAATGAACTTTTTCAAAAAGTTGTAATCAAGACTTATCGCTCTTTTTATCGTATTTTATTTATTCGATAGTCGGTCTCATTATTCGATAGTCGTTCCTTTCGACTGACAGTCGAATAGTCGACTATTCGTTGACATCCCTAATATAATTTTACGGAAAATGTAAGATTCGGTCAGATTATTTTTGACAATTTAACGGGGTAGACGTAATCGAGTGATAGTCAGTCTTAATGGATAAGGTGGAGGATTTCACAGTAATTGTTGTGATCTATTGTAGATGGATATTGAATCATGATATATTTCAGGGGTCTTAAAATCCTGGTTTAACTAGATTTACAAAAACAGGATTTACGGAAAATTTTTCGATAGACATTGATGTAACAGATTTTGAATTTCTAATTGTTTGAATTGCGACATTAAAATTGAAGTGAAAGAGACGTGACGTGTGGCTGTCGTCAGCGAGAGGAATTTTAAAAAATAAAAACGCGAAAAAAATGGACTTGAATGATTTTGCACGAGGATAGTGGATATTTTCCGTTATTGCGAATTTTCCTTTTTGTTTAGATCAAAATTACACGTAGAGGATGTTTTCCATTTTTGCGAATTTTCCTTTAAGTTTGGATCGAAATTACGTGTATAGATTCTGTGTGGAATAAGTTTTTAAAAAGTGATTGAGAAATGTTGACATTTTAAATTCTCAGGAAAATACCGGGTATTTCTCCAAAATTTATAATAGGAAAACATAAGCAATAACTATTTGTACGTGTTTTTGCTAAATTGAATCGGATTTATTTTTACCGTGCTGTATTTTAGATACAGAATAGTTGGCAATTACAACACTGTATACAGGGCTAATACAGAACGGAAAGTAGCTCCGCCCACAACAGTCTCGTTCTGTATTGCTAGTACAGAACAGTAAACTTCAAACAAAAACACCGCTATCGTGTCACAAGAGTGTTTGCTCTACAGTAACGAAGGAGTTGATCCTTACGTCGCGGGTTCGAGTCCCACTGTGAGACGTGGAGATTGGTCCTTCGAATGAGACCCTTTAAATCGAGCTCTCGTGTAGCAGTTGGTGCTGGCACGCAAAAGATCCCTCGTTGCTGAACCCCTTTCATGGCATATACGCATTTCTACGCATCTGACTTGAAAAACGACTATAGTGTGAACAAACATTCATAACCTCGTTAATACTGCAAATATCAGAATAATTCTTGCACCATTAGAAATAGAAAATAATTACAAGAAAATAATATACAGGAATTTTTTTTATTGGATGTACCAGTTTTTTGCTAGAACCAGTTAAACTTTGTGCATTATTCAAGCGATTTTGCCATTATCGAAATCAATGCGGTGGTACATGTAACACGTAATATGTAAAAATGCTAAATTTTGGAAATTACTTCCCAAACTCACCCCATCCCACGTAAATACTTAAAATTGGTTTTAAAAAAATGTACAACATGCTCATAACTTTCCACACAATAATAATTAAAATGAATATTTTAAAATATATTTAACATTTTAAAAAACCCACACAGAATGTAACTCATTCTTGAATAAATGGAAATTCCAGTAGGATCATGGTGTTTTTCGTTGCCATGACAACTAAAATGATATTTTCATTATCATTTTCACAAACTGCACAATATCTGTTTTCATAATATATGTATAAACATTGGTATATACAAAATTTACAAGAAATACCCGAAAAAATGCATTGAAATCTTAATATCAATTTGTCTAGAAATGCTTCAAATCTTTGCCATGGAAGAGGTTAATGGCTTTAATGCCAGCGGCAAGTGGCGTGGTCTCCGTATTAGTGAAGTATTCTCGACTTTAAACAACACATAATCAATCATTTTATTTTAAATATTTCAGTGACATGTGACCCTTGGTGGTTTTGCTGTTTATACTGGATAGGTGCCAACGATATTGAACAGGAGGGGAGATTTGTTTGGACGGAAAACAACAATAACGTCACTTCCTTTTCCAACTGGCACCCGGATGAACCTGATGACACAGGGGGGCAGGACTGTGTACATCTGTGTCGTCAGGGGTTTTGGGAAGATGCCGGCTGTGATGGAGTGTTTTCATACATTTGTGAAATTGATTAAAAATGTCATTAATTGTTAATAGTTGTGTTGTCAGCAATTGTGGGGAAAAACCATAGAGAATGTTTTATACTTCTGTGAATTTAGAATTTGCAGAGTTGTGTAAATAGTTGAGTTCTTAACAATAATCTGAAGAAAAAAAAAACATGGAATATGTTTTCAAACATTAGTGAAACAGATTTTTAAATGTTTGCTATAATAATTGGATTGTCAACAGATTTCGGATTGACCATTGCGAATGCTTTATACATCGATAGGAAAAAAAACAAATATCTACATGTTGTGTGTACTTAAGCAAACGTTGTCATCAATTTGTCAGCTGATACAATAAAACTCATTGACGGTACAGCCAGTCGTCTTTTGTGGCAACATACTTTCGCTCACCTTAGCCAAAGGCTCAAGTGAGATTTTTTGTTCAAAATTTGTCTGTTGTTGCCGTCGTTGTAAACTTCAAACATATTCATTTTCTTCTCAAGAACCACTGGAGCATTTCAACTTAAAAACTCGAATTGATCTAATGTAAGAAAATGCATTGCATGTTCAGAATAAAGAAATATTCCCAAGAAAGCAATACATTTATATCATTTCAAAAATAATAATCTTCTAAACTTAAGGTATCCGACCTATAGTATAAAGACTTTTGTGGATGTGGTAGAAAACATCTATTCGAGCCCCGCCGTCACCAACCTTCATCCCATAGCTCGATACTCAGCCTCTACTCCAAGGTGTTACCTCAAATATCTAATTTTACTCTCAAGTCATCCTCACAAAAAAGTGAGGAATTATCTTGAAGAAATCGTACAATGTTCAAGGTTATCTTCATAGCAGCATTCAAATTTTCCTCTAGCAAATTCAACAGGTCCCGCCGTCATCAACTTTTCTGAACTCAATATACAGCTTTTTCTCTAAAGATTTCCCTAAAATCCCTACCCTCCATACGTGTACTCAGGTCACGGAGAAAGGGTTTATATTTCGTCAGCCTACAATCCTGTATTTGACTTTGATGGAAAACTAATATATAACACAATAAAACAATCCTTACCTCTGTTGCTGTTTTGGTTTATTTGTGTTTATTTGTGTTTTTCTAGCAAGGGGTGCTTTTCATATATTGGTCTGGACAGTACAAACGTGTCCAAGGTGTTGTAGTTCTGTGTCCCAGGTCATCATCGACATTTGGCAGGACTTCATCATGTTTCCATGAGACCTTACTGACATGCAAACAAAACAGTTTTCAAAGATCACAGGTAACAAGTCAATCACGTCTGCTATATCTTCAGGCACGTAGCATCGTTTTTGAAAGTGGGGGGGGGGCAACCAGAGAAGTTTCTTTTTACATACCTGTGAAAGTTGACAAGCCAAAAGAAAGAAAAAATGGGAATTGCCCAAACTCGACAATCCTATTTCTTTGGGGAGGGGGTTGGAGGTGGACAACTTTTTCCAAGGCCAAGCTCCTTTTACTTCCCATTTCCTTCATATCATTATACTGTGGTAAGAAGTGGGGGGGGGGGGGCAACCAACTTTTCAGTGGGCATGTTCAATAGTAAAAGGTAATGCTGGGAAAACAAGTGGGGGGGAACAGGACCCCCCTGCCCCCCTCCTGTTCTTACTTTCATTTTTAGAATTTTAACAAGAGGGATGGCTCTTGGACTATCCTATGCTTGTTCCATCGTACATTTAGAAGTCAACTTGACACTTGACATTGAAAAAAAAAATATTTAACAGAGGATGTCATCAATTTGTGCGTTATCAATATGAATAAAGTCATGCATACAGTTTCAAAGGTGTCCTCTCAATAAAATAAGATATTATATCGTATGATATAAGTTGAAATAAGCTGGATTCCTTATAATTTAATTTCATTGTATCCAATGAGACAATTTTTCCTCCGAAAAAAGGATTCAAAGAAGACGGTACGGTTTAAGCTTTATTGTGCCCTAAAAATTCAATGTTCTTAAAAAGTTTTGAAATTGGCTTAAAAAATAGTTGAGTAGATGATTATGATAAATCATTAAAGAATATGGCATGAAGAAGAGCCTTTCTTGAAAATATGACGTCATTAATTTGGTACATTTTTAAGTTTAATGCAGAAAAGCTTCAAAATGACTCGTTTTTCTGTTAATTTTTCTTTAGAAAATAGTGTCTGCCACCGTCGCCCGCTTTTATTTTTGGATATATTATGCAAACCGCTATGAAAAATCACATATCTCAAAATCTTGCCGGGCGACGGTGGCAGAGTATGTTTTCTGAAAGAAAATTCCACTGAAAATTGAGTTCTTCTGCAACTTTTTAAGAAAATACGGGAAAATGCTCAAGTTAATGACGAAAAACCATTTGTGTATTCTTACTGCAGAGAATTCCTATGATTCAGAAAGAATAAATTTTAATTTCTAATATCACTTTCATATTTTAGAAAAATATAGGGCTTTATTTGTATTGAAACTGTACCTTCTTCTTTAACAGATTTTAAAAGTAAAGTCGTTTTAAATATGTTACTCATTGTGACGTACACAAATTATGCTATATAAAATTGATTAATATTTTACCAAATCAAATGACGTGTTACAACTAAAATCCAATTATTGAAAAAGAGACGAAAAATAATAACAGGTGTAGATTTTATGAAAAATTTATGACATTTAAACATAATTTCATCACATGAAATATCAGCAAAAGAATATCGTACAAACTAATTCCTTTGAAAGCTGCGTAATGTACCGTTGGTCGCCATTTTTCTATTGTTTTATCTGCCGGTTATCTAATCTATAACCCTTAGGCGGAGCCTCCATAACCTATAGGTTTACCTATATGAATTGCATATAAAACAAATCTTTATTTTCAATCATTAATAACGTGTCAGGTAATAATATATTGACAAAGAGCAATAAAAAAAGAAGTAGGTTTATAGCTTTTAACCAGAAATGATATCTTGATTTACAATCCGTTTAAAAACTTACAAAGAAATGTTCGTGTATGCCACACTCCCGAAAGTACCTTAGTATTCCGACACATAACATTTGCAGTGATTTTGGGGATATAGCTGGCCATCTTTCTGCGAGCTTCCATAACAAATTTACGTCTAGCTACTTTTTAATGAGTGCAGGTTCGGTTAAATTCTCAAGTTCTGAAATTTCACTTCCGATACCTAATTTACGCGCAGATCGCTACTTCGATCGTCAGAACGGTCCGTATGCTGTATAACATTCTCAGGTGTAACCGGCTCTTGGGTCAAATGAAAATACGCTTGAATAAGAGATAAATCCCAAATACCATCAAACACGTTTTCTTCCGCCTCCATCAACCGGCCTATCTGTCATTTGTGAATTTTGCGACAGTTCAAGGAAATCAAGATCCATGATTTGATTTGAACGTATTTTATTGCTTATACTTTACAATCAAGATCCGTGATCATTGCATCACGTTCGCCCATTCTCGCCTTATGACTGCAAGTGCGCAAAATGCGCAATAAAATGTGATATACATCATCTCTCTGTCACATAAAATCTGAGAGTGCTATGGTACATGTGACTTGCCGTATAAGTTTTTAATTGGTTTTCTCCAGATTATGGCAGATACCTATAGAGAGGTTAAAAGGTCACGAGAGGGCTGCGTCGCCTTTTAACCTTTCTATAGGGTAACTGGAGAAAAACCAATAAAACTTGTACGGTAACTACTTCATACATGTACATAATTTTACATGTCAAATACTTGCATAACTTTGTTTTGATTTTAACATATTAATGTTTTCGATGTATATTTATACTATCTGTTGTACATTATCTTTTACTCTGCTTTAAATGCGCATGTAATTTACATTAATATATATTTTCTAAAAATGGATAAACATAATGTTTAAAATGAATAGAATTTAAAACAAGACCAATTACAAACACTACTTTTGATTATTAAAAATAGAAAAAATACTCAATAAAATTTGACAAACTGCAATATTAAAAAATACGAAACTGTAAAATTGATATCGAAATTAAAAAAAAAGAAATTTTACATTCAACATTTTAAAAAATACAATAACTATAAGAATCACCATTTTTGAATTCACACAATTATTCTTACGATAGAGACAATTAAAATTTCACTAACCAAACCTGAATTCTATAATTGCATGATAATTCAAGATAATTATTCCCTGAAGCTATGTGTAATTTAGTTATTTACTCTGACATTGTACTAATTATAGTTAATTACTGGTAGTAAATCGGGCTTAATTTTTTTCATGCCAAATGTCATAATTAAATTTAAATTAATACCTCGAGGAACAGAATAAAATTACTGAGTGTTCCTCTCGGTCGCAATGCATAATTATCCTTAATTATTTTCTTGAGTCTATAAAGAGTCGTTTAATACTCATTCGTCAGTTGACGGTTATCTGTGACTGGAGAACTAAATCAGTATATCTGATACAGCCTGCTGTTTAATACCAAAGAAATTAATTTTTACTTTAAAGCCTTTATTTGTATATTCATACTTTAGGTATACCGATGTAAGGGATTTCGTGATAATTTTTTTTTTTAAAATTAAATCTAATCTGTTTCTTAAAAAAGTTTTACTTCGAATAATTTCAAAATTAAAATGGCATCGACATTAGCTAAGTCTTCTAACAAGTGGATTCAGTATTGTGTAGAACACGCTACTGAGGTAGATGTCTTTATTGACTCTTTAGAGCATGGCTATATTAATGACAGGGCTATGAAATGCGAAATCCCAGAGATACCTTTAAAAGAATTTCGTTCCTTCTTGAATAAGCAGTACAAGAAGCTATCAAAAGATAGCAAAGCCCAGGTATGTATATTTATTTCTGAAGAAGTAAGGAAACAGTCTGAGAAACTTATACCAGAGAAAAGGGCAGAAAGAACAAAGAAAATGAGGTCAATTGAGAGGTGTGCAGTACGTAATGAAGAAAAAGAACTAGGACTTGGCCCTGTCAGGGATGCAAAGACGAAAGGCAAGCAGTGGCTGACTTGTTGTTATTGCTTCATGTAAGTATTTTACTGATTTACAATTACTGTTTACGGTTTAGTCTCC